TATTAACTCTTTCAACACCAGTCAACCAGAGGCATTTACTGCCATGACACCGAGTTCCCAGAGACTCTGAGGTCATAGATGAAGCCTATGTTTATGAAGGAAATTATAAGCTTGTACAACGTTATTGCTACTACATCCCATACACCATTTAAAAGATCTAATCCTACTGTTGATAAATATGAAGTTTATTTTTATAATATTATTCAAATAATACAACTACAACTTAAATAAATTTATTTTTGAATGAAAATGCAAGCTTACATTTATAACGTCCAGATAAACCACAAAAGGAGCAAAAACTATGGCGATTTTTTCCATTTGTGACATGTCATAACATCCCCGTGCCTTTTTCTTTTATATTTTCATTTTTACGTAATCAGAAAATTATTAGAAAAAGATTTCTTAAACAATATGTATGGTCGCCTATTTCCCGATATCTGTGGCTTTCCGCCGGTAAAATAACATAACAACTGGAAATACATCCGCTTTGAAGCTTCAGATGAATAACATGCTGCTGCAAATCGCTTGATGTCGGGCATCGTTCGAAAAGCTCTGAACATCAACAATATCACTGTACCCTTGCCAAGAGTATTTTCACAGTTGTAAGAAGCGATTTTATTGGATAAAGATTGGTTTCTAATGACGCTTTTTCGCCACAGTCTGCTATAAGGGTTGTGATTGGTCAAAATCAGACACGTGACCTAAGGCAGCCAATCATATTACGGCAATGGATACCGTCCTCGTAAACGAAAACTTTTAGATTTGGGCAAAAGTTTTGGGTAAAATAATGCTATTCTGAACATATTAAGCAAGAAATCGCTACCTATACGTAAATTATGGAACTTATTGGATGTATCGTGCTAGGTTATGACCTGTGACAAAAATGCTTCATGTATGTATTTTCGCATTAAACATCGTGTCCGAGCGTGAAGATTGAGGCAGCGAGTGCCGAGATGACACTTGTCAGTGACTTGACTTGCATTACATGATCGCACAAAAGATGGAAATAGTAATTTTATATGTACGTTTGACAACTTTTATGAATGCTGTTGTTGATTTTATTCATTAGTTTATTCAATTTATTTAATAATTTCCTCGAAACATCGTTACTTTGCTCTTTGACAATGTTATTGTGGACCCGCTGCCGAAGCATGTGTCCGAGAATCGTTGTTTTCAATAACATTGCGAAAAATAGTTTATAATTTTAATTCTGCTGATAATATATGATAAATTGAAATTTAATAAGTGTTTTCAGACATTGTGAAATGTGATAGATTTGATATATGAATCAAAAGTCAGGTAGGTTCCTAAAATTATGTCTCATTTTGACGTGACTACTGCCTGGCCGATTAATCGGCCTCCGGTGTCTGGGGACTCATAACGTTGTGGCCGATTATTCGGCCTGCGGTGTTGAATGGGTTAATAGATTATTACTTAACTTAGTAGCTTCTTCCTCTGACACATCAAATGAGACATATTTGAGGAACAAAGCTGAATACAACTTCCTCCTATGTTTGCCAGTTGACACAAAATGTCGGTTACAAGGTCAACAGTAGAATGTCAGGAAAATGTACTCAGGCATGGTCTCACACTGTGAATCCACCAATAGTGATTCATCAATATTCTGGAATTACTATGCACTTTGTACCATGAATAGTTGACTCTTCCAAATATAGCCCTTGGCCTTCTCTTCACACCACCATTTATACTCAATGCCCCCAGCCATACTCACCCATCAATAGTTTGTGTTTCCCTTAGGCATTGCTAGCAGGGTGCAGGCCCTGCCTTTTTATTTGAGCCCTGCCCTTCTTTTAATACAATAATTGATATTAACACTTGGTTGTTTTTAGTTTTTATTTCATGTTGCAGTAAAAAGAAATAACTGTGCTCTTTGAGTCTTTAAGAATCCCATAGGTATGGATAACTTAACATAATACTTGGAATTCTGTAATTGCATGCCCATTTTGAAATTCTGTGACCCTGCCCTTTTAGATCTTGGGGGAAACACTAATAGAACCCTCAATCATCTACATGCTGGGCACCCACCCTCAACCCTCACGGTGCAGACCCTTCACCCACCCTCAATCATCCATATGCTGGGCACCCACCCTCAACCCTCACGGTGCAGATCCTTCACCCACCCTCAATCATCTACATGCTGGGCACCCACCCTCAACCCTCATGGTGCAGACCCTTCACCCACCCTCAATCATCCATATGCTGGGCACCCACCCTCAACCCTCACGGTGCAGACTCTTCACCCACCCTCAATCATCCATATGCTGAGCACCCACCCTCACCCATCACCAGACCCTTCACCCACCCTCAATCATCCATATGCTGGGCACCCACCCTCACCCAGCACCAGGTCCTTCACCCACCCTCAATCATCCATATGCTGGGCACCCACCCTCACCCAGCACCAGACCCTTCACCCACCCTCAATCATCCATATGCTGGGCACCCACCCTCACCCAGCACCAGACCCTTCACCCATCCTCAATCATCCATATGCTGGGCACCCACCCTCACCCAGCACCAGACCCTTCACCCATCCTCAATCATCCTTATGCTGGGCACCCACCTCACCCAGCACCAGACCCTTCACCCATCCTCAATCATCCTCACCCAGCACCAGACCCTTCACCCACCTCAATCATCCATGGGCACCCACCTCACCCAGCACCAGGTCCTTTCACCCATCCTCAATCATCCTTATGCTGGGCACCCACACTCACCCAGCACCAGACCCTTCACCCACCCTCAATCATCCATATGTTGGGCACTCCACCCTCCTCACCTAGCACCAGGTCCTTTCACCTTACCTGTTGGCTGGGCACCCACCCTCAATCATTCTCACCCACCCAGCACCAGACCCACCTTCATCCCTGGGCACCCACCTCAATCATCCATATGCTGGGCACCCACCCTCACCATATGCTGGGCAGCCACCCTCACCCAGCACTTTTCACCCACCCATCCAATGTTGGCATCCATCAGCACCAGGTCATCTCAGCATGTGAGCACCAGGTCACCCACCCTCAATCATCCATATGCTGGGCACCCACCCTCACCCAGCACCAGACCCTTCACCCACCTCAATCATCCATATGCTGGGCACCCACCCTCACCCAGCACCAGACCCTTCACCCACCCTCAATCATCCATATGCTGGGCACCCACCCTCACCCAGCACCAGACCCTTCACCCATCCTCAATCATCCATATGCTGGGCACCCACCCTCACCCAGCACCAGACCCTTCACCCATCCTCAATCATCCATATGCTGGGCACCCACACTCACCCAGCACCAGACCCTTCACCCACCCTCAATCATCCATATGCTGGGCACCCACCCTCACCCAGCACCAGACCCTTCACCCAACCTCAGTCATCCATATGCTGGGCACCCACCCTCACCCATCACCAGACCCTTCACCCACCCTCAATCATCCATATGCAGCTGCACCCACCCTCACCCAGCACCAGACCCACCCACCCTCACCCAGCACCAGACCCTTCACCCACCCTCAATCATCCATATGCTGGGCACCCACCCTCACCCATCACCAGACCCTTCACCCACCCTCAATCATCCATATGCTGGGCACCCACCCTCACCCAGCACCAGACCCTTCACCCATCCTCAATCATCCTTATGCTGGGCACCCACACTCACCCAGCACCAGGTCCTTCACCCACCCCCTCAGTCATCCATATGCTGGGCACCCACACTCACCCAGCACCAGACCCTTCACCCATCCTCAATCATCCATATGCTGGGCACCCACCCTCACCCAGCACCAGGCCCTTCACCCATCCTCAATCATCCTTATGCTGGGCACCCACACTCACCCAGCACCAGACCCTTCACCCACCCTCAATCATCCATATGCTGGGCACCCACCCTCACCCATAACCAGACCCTTCACCAACCCCCCATATGCTAGGCACCCACCCTCACCCAGCACCAGACCCTTCACCCATCCTCAATCATCCATATGCTGAGCACCCACCCTCACCTAGCACCAGACCCTTCACCCACCCTCAATCATCCATATGCTGGGCACCCACCCTCACCCATAACCAGACCCTTCACCCACCCTCAATCATCAATATGCTGGGCACCCACCCTCACCCATAACCAGACCCTTCACCCACCCTCAATCATCCATTTGCTAGTCACCCACCCTCACCCATGCACTGACCCTTTGTCCACCCTCAATCATCCATACACTAGGCACCCACCCTCACCCATAACCAGACCCTTCACCCACCCTCAATCATCAATATGCTGGGCACCCACCCTCACCCATGCACTGACCCTTTGTCCACCCTCAATCATCCATACACTAGGCACCCACCCTCACCCATAACCAGACCCTTTCACCCACCCTCAATCATCAATATGCTGGGCACCCACCCTCACCCAGCACCAGACCATTCACCCACCCTAAATCATCAATATGCTGGGCACCCACACTCACCCAGCACCAGACTCTTCACCCACCCTCCATCATCCATACGCTAGGCATCCACCCTCCATCATCCATACGCTAGGCACCCACCCTCCATCATCCATACCATCACGCTAGGCACCCACCCTCCATCATCCATACGCTAGGCACCCACCCTCCATCATCCATACACTAGGCACCCACCCTCCATCATCCATACGCTAGTCACCCACCCTCCATCATCCATACGCTAGGCACCCACCCTCCATCATCCATACGCTAGGCACCCACCCTCAGCCATCCATGGACCCTGTGCCCAGCCTTACACTCCCTGCCCGGATTTTCAGCTAAACTTGAACCAATGTTAAACTCAAAATATCTAAGCAAACCCTTGTGCCCAAACTCTGTCATCCATGACTGTGAGTTATCTTATACTACTTGCAATGAAAGAGGTGAGATGAGGGTGTGTTGGGTTGGGAGAGGTTGGTGGAGGGGGAGAGCTAGGGACCCAGTTGACGTATGACAAGACAGAACTGACTCACCTGAGGGGGGTGATTTAGCAATTCTGTTTGTGATCTTCTGGAACACATGCGGGTACTCATATTCCAAACACTCCATAAACTGCTTGAACCCATCTAGTCCCTTTGTCAGCAGTATATTGAGGAAAGTTCCTGAAGCAAGCAAACAGCCATGGTGAGTACCAAGCATAAACTGATATCAGTGTCATCAAGCATTACTGAATGATATCTGTGATTGTTGACAGAGAATGTTATTCAAATAACAGATTAATATGAAATCAAGCACTACTGAATGATATCAGTAATTATTGACTAATATCAGTGAAATGAAGCATAGCTAAATGGTATTATTAATTATTGCTACCCATGAAGGTCCAGGTTAGAATGTGCCTTCAGTAACCCATGCTTGTCGTATGAGGCGACGAACGGGATCAGGTGGTCAGGCTCGCTGACTTGGTTGACATATGTCATCGGTTCCCAATTGCACAGATCGATGCTCATGCTGTTGATGACTGGATTGTCTGGTCCAGACTCGATTATTTACAGATTGCCACCATATAGCTGGAATATTGCTGAGTGCGGCGTAAAACTAAACTCACTCACTCACTCATTAATTATTGATGGAGAATGATATTAAAATAACAAACTAATATCAGTGAAATCAAGTGTTACTGAACTATATTTGTTGCAAGAGAGGTTGATGCTGTTTATGATACACAGAATGAAGAAAAACAAGAAGACAGAGTCATCAATATCCCCACAATGGCAAAATACTCTTCATGATTATGTCTACGAGTTAATATTTAGGTGTGTATATAGAACAGTGGAAGGAGAGTCTTGAAAGGTTTTTAAAGTTCTGCTCCAGAAAGGAACACTATCACCAATTTCAGTCTAAGTCAAACTTGTTGCCATGGAAATGCCAAAAATATTTTATTCAGAAATCCCAAACTAGCAAAAGGCACCAGTACACCACCAGATCTATATATGTGCCAAGTTTGGTGAAGAAACAGTTTTAGAGTTCTGCTCCGGAAAAGACAAATGTGCACGGACGGACGGACGCATGCACGCACTCCATTTTAATACCCCCCGCAAAACGCGTTGTGGGGGATAATTAATATGTGCCACTCACTTGCACGAGATCTTCGTGTTGGGTTACAGTAGAAATTATTAATTTCATCACAGTCACTTTCACTGAGGACGCGAGCACTGCGCAGCTGGCCAAAGAACACCGGAGGAGAGACGGAGCGAATGAGGTCATTGAAGTGGTCCTCCAGGAAGTCACAAAAGTTCTCTTCTGTCAAGGAACTATAGTCCAACTGGAACAGAAACACTCATCAAGGATACAAATTTATAGTACATTCAGACAGCTAAACATCATATATAGCATTCTTTTTCAGAAGAAGTCCTCCTTGGGGTACATATAAGCATTTAAATATGCATTTTAAATCCTACGACAGTTGTAACTATATTTTGCAATAAAATATTTACAAAACAAAAAAACTCGTTTTGTCTTGTGAGACCACCCCTACAGGGCCCCAACAGACCCCCTAAAGCCAAGAGCAGGTAACTGTCGCCGTCTACCTCGTACCTAACTTTTCATGCTGTCGTTCTGTTGAATAGACGTGCGTGGTGTTCGTTTCGAGTTTGCTCTCCTACCGATACAATGAGTGTAAGAGAGTCTCAATCTGTATGTATGGTTCCTTTCTTTACGCACGGGCGTTAGATGGACTTCATATGTTGATATTCTCATTCATCTTTTGTTGTAACTTTGCCGTGGGTTCTCTGTTTTCCAGCCTTGTGGCAGGCAAAATGGCGGACCGCGCGATCGTGGTTTCCTGCTAGATCTTGGAGCTTGTAGTAGGGAGTTCATATATTATGTTTGCATATATGGTAGGCTTGCCTAAATTCTCTCTTTTCAGCGAATTTGGTGGTAAGTCGTTGTTGATAATTTTTTGATAGTGTTCGTTTTGTATCACTCAACTTTACTCACTATAGTATCAGGGATAATCTACAACATATAGTTATATAGTCTCCCTGCTAGTATGTACACGCAGGTGCGGCTAGCCTTTTTTTCTGCTTTGCATTGTATGTTTAGTATTTAAATGGCTGTAGCTTGTAGCATTTAAATATCACCTGTGCGTTTTATTTATTGCTATTTACTTATATGTTTGCTGCGTCACAGTTCCTGCTAATAACACTGGCATGGTTCTGTTTGTTGCAGTTTAAGCCCTGTGCGTTGTGCCATGCACACTGCCACCACAGGACGGTGTTTAGCCGAGGACACTCACGACGCTCAAGGATGTTCATAATAAGCACCCTTGCGTCAATATTCTGTTACATTATGTTGCGTTATGTTACACATATACACATTTCATACGTTTACACACCATGTGGCTCATAGTGGCCGAGGTTGTGTCTTTTGCCTGGGTTTCTGCTCCTCATGCGCATTCTTTCAAGCATGCAGATTTTATGTTTTTCACTAATCTGCTTCAGGCGGGAGATAATTTTTGATGAAAGGCTTCTAAGGAAATCCCTTTATCGTCCCCCCGCCTACGCCTCCCCCACAAACAATGTTGCTACACTAACGATTGCTTTCTTACTTATAGCAGCAGCGGGAGATCGTCGGTGCACGCTCTTATCTCAGATGTGGTTTCCAGACTCCGAAAGGAGATTGGTACCCGGTCTACGGGTAGAGGTTGCACCGGCGCATCAATTGGGGGAGGTCCCGACCCGAGCTCTGGCTCCGGGAAGGGTCCGACCTCCCGGGGACGAGCTTCAGCTCCGGGGACGTTCTGAACCTGGGGACTACCACCGACCCGGACTTCGGCCCCGGTACGGCATTGATCCCCGTCCCCGGTAGCTCAGGCCTCGGCCTGATGTCTATCGACGCCCAGGCCAGGAGGCTGTTGAGTGTGACAGAGCTGCCGATCACCTCGACGCTCCTAGGTCTACCCGTGTACACCAGGGGAAGCCTGCATTGCCAGGCTACACCCATGTGTCTCGGGACCAGGGTTCGGACTCTCTGAACCTGGGGACTAGCACCGACCCGGGCTTCGGCCCTGGTACGGCGCAGATCCCGGGCGCCAATAGCTCAGGTCTCGGCCTGATGTCTAGGCCAGGAGGCTGTTGAGTGTGACAGAGCTACCGAGCTGCCGATCACCTCGACGCTCAGAGGTCTACCTGTGTACACCAGGGGAAGCCTGCATTGCCAGGCTACTCCCATGTGTCTCGGGACTGGGGATCGGACAAGCGCCGACCTGGGCTTTGGCCCCCCATATGGAGCAGATCCCCGGCGCTGTTAGCTCAGGTCTTGGCCTGATGTCTATCGACGCCCTGGCCAAGAGGCCGTTGAGTGTGACGGAGCTACCGATCACCTCGATGCACCGAGGTCTACCCGTGTACACCAGGGGAACCCTGCATTGTCAGGCTACTCCCAGGTGTTTCAGGATCGGGGTTCAAACTCGAACCGCCGACCCGAGCACTTATATATATATTTATATATATATGGGTTTATAAATAGCGCCATAGGCTATGTTGTCATATGCTCAGTGCGCTTTTGGAGAGTACTGGGGGACTTTTAAGTATCGAACTGAGAAAGTGACTCGGTAAGAAGAACGTGTGGTGAAATAGACAAATGAAATTATATAAACAGTTAATTTACTGTCATAACATATAAAAAGCTCGCGCCTGTGAGCTCACACCAAAGCCTTCACCGAGTATTCACCGGACAGCCCGCTTCCAAGTTGCGCGAACCTATTTCACTGCGCACATGCTATGAGCGCAGCCCAGATGTTGAAACCAGTTTTCTCCAGAAAAGTCGGGGGAAAATTAGTGAAACGTTTGAACTCCGATTTCGCGCGGGTTTTTTCATGGCGTTATTTTTCAACTTTATAACTTGAATTTGCATTTTTGACGATTTGTTTCGGTAAGTCCATACAGAAAGGTATCAGAATCTGCAAAGTTGTGTTTTACGTTGCATGTGACCTTTAACTAAACGTTTTCTCACGATCCCTGGAAGTAAATTACTTAACAAAAGAGACTGGATAACTAAATTAGCGATCACCACATAATCCGACATGAGGGGCAGTCGTGTCAGTCTCTAGTCAAACAAACATCCTACTTACAGCTCGCTGGCGTCAAGCAGTTGACAATACACTGACAACTGGAGGCCAGCCCTGATAAGTTGTTCATTGTTTTATGTAGCTTGCGAGTATCAGTGAGTAGACCAATTAGTAAATGTCAGTGACTTTATCCAATATTCATATTACTTACAAACGTTGTCTGTTATTCTGCTGTATACATATACATGCACATGGTTGTCATTTGCAGGTTTTTATAAGCTTGGATAAGTAAAATACCTGATAATATAGAACACACTTTATGGATAACAACTTTATGGATAAGTTGTTATCCATAAAGTGTGTTCTGTATTGTACTTCCCAACTTCTAAAATGCCACTCAAAGAAGAAATACCTGATAAGTAAACAATTTTGGCGAGTCCCTTGAAATTTTACTTATCAAGTTTCCACTGTAGATGTGTTGTGGGCACAGTGAATAATATAGTGCATTCCTCTGCATACTGGGTGCACATTTGCGCATCGTGTAATACCCCGCAGAGGACTAACAAACTTGAAGTGTATGAGTCCTAGTTCAGAAAATTGGTTTCCCAGAGAAATGTCAAACATTGAATACAATTTTAAGTCCATAAACAGCTTAATTCTTTGCTTCTTTTTATCGTATGTAATATGTAATATCATGTGTAAACTTTGTCCTTCTTTGTGCTTGAAGGCGTACTCAAACATGCCCCGCCAAAAACAAACTTGCACATGTAGTTGTTTAACCATGCCATGACTCCTAATGCATAATCTAAGAAAGTGATGTCAAAATGGGCATGCTCATCAGCTGTAAGTGACGTATAGACATGAAATTCCCCAAATGCAAGTGCGAGCACTGGAACTACTTAATTGTTTATGTGGTATCAAATTATGAAAAAGCTACAAAAATTCTTAAGACCTACAAACTGTCTGTATCCCAGTGGCAGCAGTATGTAATTCTTTTGTGTTCATTTGCGATTTTTATGCATGTAGGATGCAGGGTTTCACATCGGGTAAATTCCTGGTGGTCACATGACAGATCTTCTTTAGGCTGACTTTACATTATATGTTGACATGTACAGAACTCGAAAACAAGCAGTATGTGGGAAATAAATTAAGTTTTTACTGAAACAAGAAAAACTATTTTAATCAAAATAATTTTTCTCAGTTTGACTTTCAAGCACAGTAAATTCAGAGACCTAGATGAGTGTCTGATGACAGTGATATAGTCATTCTCTTCCCACAGAGGCTACTTGTCATATGTTCTTACGAACATCTGTTCTAATACGGCCCTATCATGGTGTGAGTGTTCAGGATTCGTGATTGGTTGCAATCAGATTTAGTTGTGCAATCAGTGACGTTTCAAATGTGATCATTCGCAAGGTCTCGGTTATTTCCGCACGCTTTGGGAAAACTAAAACCTCTTCCCCTGCGCAATGCGCAAACCTTTCTTCTAGACAGAACACAGTCATGTAATGATGGATATCAATTGGTGACCGGACAAAATCCACCCGGACAAAATCCACCCCAAAATTGCCACCCCGGACAAAATCCACCTCTTCTTAACAAAAAAATGGACAAAATCCACCCTTCATATCAATTATCGACCTCGTTGACAACGAACAATCTAGCCATTAAATGTCTTGTGAGTCACTTGAACACATGTCCCCAGCAGAGGAAGGATATTTGTGGCCACACATTTGCTTGTATTAGTCAAGTTGGATCTTAGTTGATGTAACACGTGTTCTGATTGGATAGAAAGAAGGGCGATAATTCGTGTTGCGATTTTTTGCTGCTAGGGGATTTTACCAGAACAGGGAAATATAGCAGTATTAGAACAGAGGTTCGTAGGAAGATATGCCAAGTAACCTCTGTGGGAAGAGAATGTGATATAGTGTGAGTTCAGAAGTATTGTATATGCTGAAGCTTAGGGATTATGATAGCATTGTGGTCATTGTTGGGAAGGGGTCTAGATCTCTGGTAGTTTGTATTTTTAGAATGGTATAAGAATTATTGTAACTGCGTCCCGTCTTCAAGCAATATGTCATGTGTAAATAGACCTACCAAAGCCTCAGGTCACCTCCTGAGTGAGTGAGTTGAAGTTTATAGTCAACAGGTCACCTCCTGAACATCAACCTATTAAAATATTTTACAGATCATTTTTGGCCATCATGTTTCATCACACTGAAGAGTTTTGATAGCATTATATGTACAATGAAGTC